GCCATTTGCATTCCTTCCAAAAAATGGATATGGTCCCTTTTTTCTAATATGTCATCCTCATATTTGAATTTTTCACTTTTGTGCTTTAGCTGTTGTGATAGGTGAGTAGCAGTGGATCATCATTGTGTTACTGTATGTTTTTTAAAGTGATCTTTTAAATCTTTTTTTTTTTCTCTATGTAGTGGAAAAGTCTTCAGATCAGCAGCCCAGGTTTTATTGCTTTATTTTCTATATTTGTTGAGCTGTGAATTTGCTCTCTGTTCATCAGTTCAGGCACTCAGTCGTGTCCAACTCTTTGCAACCCCATGGACTGCAGCATGCCTGGCTTCCCTGTCCATCATCAACTCCCGGAGCTTACTCAAACTTATGTCCAGCGAGTCCATGATGCCATCGAATCATCTCACCTTCTATAGACCCCTTCTCCACCTGCCTTCAATCTTTACCGGCATCAAGGTCTTTTCAAATGAGTATGTTCTTCGAATCAGGTGGCCAAAGTATTGGACCCTCAGCTTCAGCACCTTTCAAATGAATATTCATGACTAATTTCCTTTAGGATAGAGGACTGGTTGGATGTCCTTGCAATCCAAGGGTCTCTCAAAAGTCTTCTCCAACACCACAATTCAAAAGCATCAATTCTTCGGTGCTCAGCTTTCTTTATAGTCCAACACTGACGTCATGCTTGACTTCTGGAAAAACCATAGCTTTGACTAGATGGACCTTTGTTGGCAAAGTAATCTCTCTGCATTTTAATATGTTGTCTAGGTTAGTCATAACTTTTCTTCCAAGAAGCAAGCATCTTTTAATTTCATGGCTTCAGTCACCATCTGCACTGAGATTGGAACCCAGAAAAATTAAGTCAGTCACTGTTTCCATTGTCTCCCCATTTATTTGCCGTGAAGTGATGGGACCAGAGGCCATGATCCTAGTTTTCTGAATGTTGAGTTTTAAGCCAGCTCTTTCACTCTCCTCTTTCATTTCATCAAGAGGCTCTTTAGTTCTTCTTCACTTTCTGCCGTGAGGGTGGAGTCATATGAGTATCTGAGGTTTTTGATATTTCTTTTGGCAATCTTGATTCCAGTTTGGGCTTCATCCAGCCCAGCATTTCTCATGACGTACTCTTCACACTCTCTATTCATGATACAGGTCTATTTGTCAACTCTGATGTTTGTAAGTTTATTCTCTAAGTCTATGCTTTGATTCCTGCGTCAGTGTTATTGTTACTGCTGCTGTTGTCAGGACAGAGTTTTAATAAATACAAAAGGTTAGAAATGATTTATGAATCATGTTTGTGGGTTGATATCTAAAAATTCATTCTGAAGCTCAGGGCACCAATAACTTCACTCTGCTGACCCAGTCATCTTGCTGAAAGGAAGTCAGGGCCCAAGAAATGTCCACACGAGGAGGACATGAGGCCCAGGCCTGTACTCTGTCAGAGCCCCAGTCAGGTCAACCTTCCTTACATGTGAGTGTGTATTGTAGGAGGGGACCCTAGAGGTGAACTTGAGACTCTCACAGGGACCCTGCATGGCACAGGGTGGACCCTCCCAAAGCACAGAATGTGAACAAAATAAAGGGTGACTGTCACTTTAAACGGCCTAATGTTGTGATTGCTTCCTTTGCATCAGAAAATGAAAGGTTGTTGCTGAACAATAAGACGTCGGGATTCTGGGCGTCTGGAGGAGATGAATTCAATCCGGGGCCAGAGATGAGGCTGGGTCACTCAGAGCTTTTGTGTAATAAAGTTTTATTAAAATATAAAGGAGATAGAGAAAGCTTCTGATATAGGCATCAGAAGGGGGCAGAAAGAGTACCTGCCTGCTAGTCTTTAGCTGGATGGTATATAGCTACTAGCAGTCTGTTAATGAAAAGAAAGGAATGTCTTAAAAGGCAGAATGGCACCAGATGATTCATCCCAGGCCGTAAAACGATTGACTTGAATCTTGTAGAAGGGCAGATTACCATACAAATAGTTCCGTTTACATAGATTAGGGGAACAATATCTGAGTATAACATACTGGTTTGTCAAGTAGGTTCTGAGCCATTTGGCGGATAGAAGACAGAGTCTGGGGTACATTAACATAGGTTAAGACAAATATTTCCATAAGAAAAATGTATTGGTTAACTCAAGGTTTGAGAATGGTTAGCTTCAGTTGAAACCAGGTGTTATGGCAACACAACATTTTAAGAGAAACTTCCTTTTAAATTTGTATAGAGAAGGAAAAAAAATCATTAGTTTGTTTCCTCCTGCCACTTAAGAGAGATAAAAGTGTCTGGCACTTGCAGCTTATTTCCTCCGTTTGGAGACCCCTGGCCTTCCTGCCTGTTACCCTCTCAAAAATACCTGAAAATTTTACACATTTCCACACAGGACCCATTTTCCCATTTCATAAATGGTAAGTGTATGGCACAGTTGGACTGGGTGACTGGACAAAGGTCACACTGCCATTTGAGGTGCTCTGAGACAGCCCCACGTCAGAATCCAGAGCCAACGTCCTCCCAGCAAGATACAGGGAGGACCTAAGTTCCCGGGCAGGAATCCCGGGCTCCCAGGTAGGAAGACACACCTGTGTGCGTGGAGAACAACACCAACTGGTTACACTTTAGCAGGACCACACTGGCACTGGTGGGGACAGCACTTAGGAGACCGTGACCACCACTACACCTTTTCCGCACTCGACCTCAGGGAATGCATTTCAGCTTAATTTGCTGGTGGTTTTATTCTATCCAGTGGCCTCTGCCCTAGTTAGTATTCTTCTCTTTTACTCTCTGGGCATTTCCGTCTCTCTGGGATTTAAATCCATCACTTATTACTGTAACTATCTGATAAATTGATGAGAAAAACATCTACTTCTGCTTCAGTGACTGCGCTAAAGCCTTTGACTGTGGGTCACAACAAACTATGGAAAATTCTCAAATAAATGGGAATACCAGGCCACCTTACCTGCCTCCTGAGAAGTCTGTATGGAAGTCAAGAAACCATAGTTAGAACTGGACATGGAACAATGGACTGGTTCAAAATTGGGAAAGGAGTACGTCAAGGCTGTATGTTGACACTCTGCTTATTTAACTTATATTTACAGTACATCATGTGAAATGCTGGGCTGGATGACGCATAAATTTGAATCAAGATTGCCAGGAGAAATATTAATAACCTCAGATATGCACATGACACCACCCTTATGACAGAAAGTGAAGAGGAACCTAAAGAGCCTGTTGATAAATATGAAAGTGGAGAGTGTAAAAGCTGGCTGAAAACTCAACATTCAAGAAACTGAGGTCATGGCATCTGTGAACTATGATCATAATCACTTCATAGATAATAGATGGGGAAACAGTGGGAACATTGACAGGCTTTATTTGCTTGAGCTCCAAAGTTTCTGCAGATGGTGACTGCAGCCATGAAATTAAAAGAAGAAAAGCTTGGAAGGAAACCTATGACCAAGCTAGACAGCATATTAAAGAGCAGGTACATTACTTTGCCAACAGAGTTCTCTATATTCAAAGCTATGGTTTTTCCATAGGTCATGTTCAGATGTGAGAGTTGGACCATAAAGAAAGCTGGGCACTGAAGAATTCATGGTTTTGAACTGTGGTGTTAGATAAGACTCTTGAGAGTCCCTTGGACTGCAAGGAGATCAAACCAGTCAATCCTAAAGGAAATCAAACTTAATATTCATTGGGAGTACTGACGCTGAAGCTGAAACTCCAGTATTTTGGCCACCAGATGGGAAAAGCCAACTCATCAGAAAAGACCCTGATGCTGGGAGCCATTGAAGGTAGGGGGAGAGGGGGGCGAGAGAGGACGAGATGGTTGGCTGGCTTCACCGACTCAATGACATGAGTTTGAGAAACCTCTGGGAGATGGTGAAGGACAGCAAAGCATGGGGTGCTTCCATCTGTGGGTCTCAAAGAGCCAGACACCACTCAGTGACTAAACAATAACATTTGATGAGATTTTGATCATGTGTAAGTTCTCCATTTTGAGGTTTGTTTTGGTAAAGAACATTAGAAAGAGAAACATATTTCAGCTTCTTGCTCTCTGTCTCCAAGAGGAATAGCATCTTTCTTGTAATGCTCAGAAACTGGAAAAAAATTCCCATCTCAAACATCATCATAATGAATACACCACTTGGGCTGTAATCATTCTTTGAAACTCCACCTGTCATTAATAACCATGATTCCTGGTATACACAGAAGGAAGGTGACATTTACAAGTAATCATATTGAGTAAAATAAGCTCTTCAAATAAAAATACATATAATAAGATTCTATTTTTGTAAATTCTAGAAAATGAAATGTAATATGAAGTAACTTGGGAAGATGAAGTTTACATCAGGATGGGATGAAGAAGACAAGGGACAGGAATGAGGAAAACCAGAAGCTCCTGAAAATATTGAATTGATTTGTTTTCTCTTGATAATGGTGATGCCTTCATCAGTATGTATCAGAGTGTGTGTGGTTTATTATATCAAGTACCACATTAAAGCTGTTATAAATGCAAAAATGGATGACTCAGAATTTAAGGGGTGAAAGAAAAACAATGAAATGTTAGAGTCTTGAAATTACTTCTAATGGGCCCTACTGTCTCCGTGTATTTTATGTAAATACAGGAAGAGAACAAAGTTTTCATGCTCAGATGACAGAAGGGGGCTCTCAAACCTCCCCAGGCATCTCTATCTTGAAGTAGTTCAGGGGGCAGCCAGGCCCAGGGAACAGATGTCAACACTGAATCTAATGGCCACCCAGTGTTTATCCTTGGATGCTCCAGAAACCCTCTGCACTTGTGTTTGTAGTTTATATCTATAATATAAGGATTACAAGGACACCTACATCACAGGATTGTGTGCGTAAGAAATATGACCTGTGAGTTATATAGCTCTGAAAAAAAAATTGTATTTCCCAAATACTATCAACATCACAAAATCTATGACACTGGCAAGTTCTTCGGAACTCTGTCCTTTCTGATGTCATTTGATGACATAACTTCTTATAGACTAGCCAGTCATGCAAATAGGGCCCTCCATCTGCTGATGAAAACCAGCCCAACCCTGACTCTGAAGTTCTGGGAGAGGATCCCTGGCCCCAGGATCCCAGGTGCTCCCACTTGGGGATCAGGACTGAACACAGACCACTCACTATGGGGTTTGGGCTGAGCTGAGTTGTCCTGGTTGCTATTTTACAAGAAAACTGATGGAGAACAAGACATCCTGAGGATGAGAGTAGATGTGAGTGAGGCAATCAGTGGGTGTGTGACAGTCCCTTGATCAGGCTGCCTCTGTGTTTGCAGATGTCCAGTGTGAGGTCCACCTGGTGGAGTCTAGAGAAGGCTTCATGCAGCCTGGAGGTTCTCTGAGATGCTCCTGTGCAGCCTCTAGATTCATCTTTAGTACCTGTGGCATGAGCTGGGTCCTCCAGGCTACAGAGAAGGGGCTGGAGTGGGTCTGATCCATTAGTGGTGGTAGTGACTACATACACTACGAAGACTCTGTGAGGGGCCAATTCACCATCTTTAGAGACAATTTCAAGAACACAGTAACTCTGCAAATGAACAGAGTATTACTGTATCAAAGACACAGTGATGGGAAGTCAGTGTGAACCAGACACAAACTTCCCTGCAGGGAGAAGGGAAGGGGCTGTGAATGCAGGGGGCCATAAAGACTCCTGGGAGGCAAACAGGATGCAGAATTTTGCCTTTCAATCCCAGAAGCTTGTACAAGCAGAGGTTAAGGGCTGTTTTCCTGTCATGGTCTGGGGATTCCTTTCCATATAGCAGTTTTCCCTGGGGAATCTCTCTGGACACATAATTATAAATTTAAAGATTTAGTCTCTGAATTAGAAAGGCTTTTAAAAATAAGTAGAAAAAGGCTCGCAAAAGGAAAGGCAGAGAGTTACTTACCGTTAGATATGCAGAGTTGCTCTGGTCTAAATATTTTCTAAATTGAGCTGTTTCAAAAGGATCCTACTGGATTTATGAAAAATTGAACAGATTTTCCTTCCTCATTGTGAAATCTCAGCCCTGCTCTATTGGTAGACCAGCTGTCCCTGCCAGGATGGAGGCTCTTGGATCGCTGCCTGGTCTCTTGCATAAATGCCCAGGCAGCATTTGTGTTCAGGGTCCTCAGTGGGTCACTGGGAATGATGCCAGTTACAGAGCATGTGGGTGTGCGTGCTCTACATGTGCTCCTTGTTTCCAGGTCCAATAAATCCCTACAGGCTTAGACAATATGTACATCCTATTCCATTGTGCAGTTTGCTTTATGTAAAATATTTACCATCAAAGCAATCACTACTAGACACATAGATAGCTGGTGGAAAACGTTATAGTCAGACAGATACTAGCATGCACTTTCATAAAAGTGCTGAAAACAAATCTGTAATCCTTTCTTTACCACAACATCTTAAGGGAGCTCTAGAATGCAGGAAAGTCACACCTGTTCACCTTTGAGGAAGAGACCGGAGCCTGAGTGGGCACGTCCACCTCTGTCCAGCATCCCCTGCAGGGGCAGCCAGGTCCAGCGTGAGAAGCCCAGGCACAGACAGGCGGGCTCACTGTGCCCTGCGGTGTGCCCTCCAGCGCATCACTGCAATCCAGGCTGCAGGTCAGCTTCACGTCTGTAAGACGCAGGTAAACCAATTCCCACATCACATTGTAGCTGTGCTGGTGTAGAAAAAAATAATAATAAAACAGGCACTGAGTGTCAGGGCCCAGGGAAAGTCACTCCCAAACGGGCCTCAACGGCATGTTGATTGCCGTGAACTAAAGTGAATGAAGAAAGGACCATTGAGCTGCTGTTGGCGCTGCTCTCACTACCAAGGCATCTCTGAGTATGCTGGCAATTATGGCTTGTCAGGTGGCTCAGTGGTGAAGAATCTGCCTGACCACAAGGAGACCCGGGTTCAATTCCTGGGCCCCAAAGAAGGAAACAGAAACCTACTGCAGTATTCTCGCCTGGGAAAACCCATTGACGGAGGATCCTGATGTGCAACAGCTCATGGTGTCAGAAAAGAATCAGACACAACTTAGTGAGTGAGCAAAACCAACACGCAAGCAGTTGGCCCTGGTGGCTCGCAGGCATGGTTTTCGCCAGATCACCAGCACAGATCCTCGGAGCTCAGCCACCTGGACTGCACCTGGACCTGCTCTGGGAGCTATGGAGGCAACATGGACACTCCTCTGACCCAGCCCCCTCATGCACAGATCCACAGAGTCCACGGCTGCTAAAACTAGAACCATGCAAGCTGCAAGACCCCTTGTTGTCTTTTGGGGTTTTCACAGGTGCTGAATTTAGCAAGCCATTCCTGGAAGTGTCACTGCTCAGTTCACACAGCACACGGAGAGATTTCCCTCCTGTTCCTTCGCCACACATCCCTGTGTGCTCAGCCATAAATGAATAAGCTGGGAATCATGGACAAATTCTTAGAAAGATATAACCTTCAAAGAATCAATGAGGAAGAAATAGAAAATGTGAACAGGCCAATTACAAGTAATGGAATTGAAGATGTGATTAACAATGCTCCAACAACAAAAAGTCCACAACCAGATGGCTTCAGGGTAGCCATCAGACATTTAGAGAATGTGTATCAGACATTTAGAGAAGAGCTAACACCTATCCTCAAACTGTTTTTTCTTTTTTAATTCAGAGAGAAACACTCCCAAGCTGTTTCTACAAGGCCATCATCACCCAGATACTACAGGAAGACAAAGATGTCACAAAAAAGAAAATTATGGCCAAAATTACTCACAAGCAAGAATGCAAAAATCTCTCAACAATATACTAGTAAACAGAATCCAGCAACATATTGAAAGAATACAACACCATGATGAAGATGGATTATCCATGGATGCAGGATTCTTCAATATGTGCAAATTAATCAACATGACACACCACATTAAGAGATTAAGAAATAAAACCTATATGGTCACCATAATTGATGAAGAAAACATTTTTTTGTTCTATCTGAATTTCAGAAATTGCCTGGAGAGAACTCTAATCGATGAAAACAGCTACCCGAATGATCCAAGAAATTAAAATTATAGAAACCTACTCATCCTGTGTAGAAACTACTCATCCTGTGTTGGAGTAGGCAATGGCAACCCACTCCAGCACTCTCGCCTGGAAAATCCCATGGAAGGAGGAGCAGGGTAGGCTACAGTCCACGGGATCACAAAGAGATGGACACGACTGAGCAGCTTCACTTTCACACATCCTGTGTAGTTTTCTTCTAGTGATCAGAAAACTGCTACAATGCCATTACCTGTTCCCAATGTCCCACACAGATCAAGTGTTCCACATCCAAAGGCTAGGGTGAGAGAATTCAAATGTCCCAGTTGGATGAGTGGAGCCTAATGCAGCCTTACTCAACTTATAAGTACAAGTTTCACCCATGTGCAAATTTTCCTCCATTCTCTAGAGTACCATCTACCCCTGGGCTGTGGGAGCTCACAGAACTCCCCTCACACAGCACTGAGGTCTAGGGAAGGCAGAGCTGTGGTCTAAAAGTTAAGGCTTCTCCTGTGCCTGATGGCTGTGGCTGCAGGTGACTGACAGGGACTGACTCCCCTTGTCCCCAGGTGTCCTGTCCCAGGTGCAGCTGCAGGTTCCGGCCCAGGACTGGTGAAGCCGTCCCAGACACTATCCCTCGCCTGTGCATCTCTGGTTCCCCCATACCAGTGGCCACTGGGGAGTTGGACCCACCAGCCCCCAGGGAAGCGGGAGAGTGGAGGTGAGCCGTCATTTCTGGTGGCAACACTTACTGCAACCCACCCCTCAAGAGCCGCAGCTCCACCTGCAGAGACACACCCAAGAACCAGCTCTCCCTGCAGCTGATGTCTGTAACCAGCGAGGACCCAGCCGTGTATTTCTGTGCAAGAGACATCGTGGGGGGAAGTCAGTGTGAGCCCAGACCCAGGCCAGCCTGCACGAGCCGGGCTGGGGGACGCAGGGGTGGCGCTCGGAACTCACACTTGTTTCCTCCCCAGGAGCAGGTGCAGATGGAGGCTAAGGGCCGGTTTCCTGTCGGGATCTGTGATTTCCTCTGCACTCAATACTTCCCCTTGGGGAACATCTCTGGTCTCAATTTTCTTTTTTATCTCTTAGATCTTTGACCTATAAAGATTTGTTGGAATCAGAGAGAATCCTTTTCTCCTGCAGAAAAGCAGAGTCACTTCCTGACACTTTCTTCTGTCACCAAATGCCAAGTAATTTCCAAATCTATGGAGGTAAGTCAGCTACATTCATGAAAGGGACTCAGCAGGGCAGCTCAGGCAGGGCAGTGAGCAAGCCTGCCAGCAGGTAGCAGCACAATGTACATGGTGGACATCAGGCAGCAGAGACAGGGATTCAGGACAAGAGGAGACGGACCCCTGCTGCTGGTGGTGTTGTCTGCACACTTGCTCACAGCATCGAGTTCAGTGGGCACTATGAAAAGGTAAGGATCCACACCAAACCTTGGTTCACACTTGGAGTTTGTGCACGTGCACACATAGACACACACACACACAGATACACCAAGGGGATTTACTAATAAACTCTTCATCACGTCCATTATCCAGGTGTCATTTGGGAATAGGAAAATCTTCTCAGCAATCAGAAATGAAGCCTGAGTCTGGAGTTGAGACCTGACCAGGACATCTACTTCTACAGGGGTCAGAGGTGTTGAAACGATGAGGGTCCTGGTCACAGGAGAGGCTCCTGTGGGTTCAATCTCACACCTGCATCGAAAGAGAGAAAACAAGTTTCTAATTGAATCTCCAGAGTGTGGGCAGAGGAGAAAAGCAGGATTAAGCCTTAAGGGGTCAGTAGTCATCAAAATACAGAGTCTGACATTTTCTTCTTCTTAGCCACTATAAGAAAGGATGTAAGAAAGAGGTAAATGATCACTAAAGGTGGGTTAACCCAAGTCCTTAAAAAACAAGAGGACTGCTGACCTGTAAGCAAGCAATAATAACATTAAATTCATGAAGGGATTAGAGAAAGGTTTAGCTCAGAAACTTGGGTGGAAGATGTTTACTGTGCCAGGTCATGGCTAGTTTTGAAGGTCTTGGATCTGCTGTGTGCTCCTACAATGAGGAGAGCCCACCATATCTAGGAGAACCTTCAGTTTAAAGGGCTCTATTGAAGTACAGAGCTGAAAATTTGATGTATACGAAACGTGATGCTGGAGAAGAGTCTTGAGTTTCCCTTGGACTGGAAGGATTTCAAACCAGTCAGTTCAGAAGGAAATCAACTGTTAATATTTATTGGAAGGACTGATGCTGATGCTGAAGCTCCAGTACATTGGCCACCTGATGCAAAGAGCTGAGACATTGAAAAAGACTCCAATGCTGGGAAAGATTTAAGGCAAAAGAAGAAGGGGAAGACAGAGGATGTTGCGGTTAGATAGCATCACTGGAAATACTGGTGCATGGAGGAGCTTGGTGTGAGGCAGCCCAGGGGTTTCAAGGAGTCAGACGTGACTGAGCACATTTGTCGATGTCTTATTATTTCTTGTATGAGCTCTTGTGCAAAAGTGTGCAACAACAAAATTTGACATACTTAATTTTAAATATAAATATTTTCCACAGACTTCCTTGTAATTAAATGAAATAACATTTCAGATTAAAATATTGTGGTGTGAGGACACATCTTCACACATTGAACTCACAGACTGAACTCACAAAATAAACTCACAGACCCTTGTTCGGACACAACACATCTGTGCACCGAAGAGGTCCATGAACCTAGGACCTGTTATATTTCCTTCTGTGGGAACATGAACTTACATGTGTCTCCTAACTCCACCAGCTCATGGTGTCCAGGTCAGATGCGGGGGCATCTCTGCAAACGCAGGCTCGGATGCCCCTTGGTGAATAGCAACAGTCTCACCTGCTCCAGGTGTTGGATGCCACATCTTCCCTCCCCTGCCCCACAGCATCAGCTCACTTTTCAGGTCCAGACCAGAGAGTCTAGATGTGTCTCGTGATTCTTGTTCTTCCTGCTTTTGTTGAAGGTCTTATTACCTACACACAGGCAGGGCAGGTTCTTTCTGATTTAATTTACTCACTCATATGATTGAAAAGATAGAAGATGTCTGAGGAGGCCTTACAAATAGCTGAGAAAAGAAGATAAGTGAAAGGCCAAGGAGAAAAGTACAACTGCACTCACATCACACGCTAGCAAGGCCATGCTCTAAATCCTCCAAGCTAGACTTCAACAGTACTTGAACTGAGAACTTCCAGCTGTACAAGCTGGATTAGAAAAGGTAATGGAACCAGAGATCAGATTACCAACAGCATTTGGATCATAGAAAGAGCAAAAGCATTAAAATACACACACACACACACACACACACACACACACACACACACACTAATGCTTCATGACTATGCTAAAGCCTTTGACTGTGTGGATCACAACAAGGCATGGAAAATTATTAAAGAGATGGCAACACCAGACCACGTTACCTGCCTCCTGAGAAAACTGTACACAGGTCAAGAAGCAATAGTGACAACAGATCATGGAAGAAGAGACTGGATCAAGAATAGGAAAGGAGTGAATCAAGACTCTCTATTGTCACTGTGTTTATTTAACTTACATGCCTTGTACATCACACAAAAGCAGAGCTGTAGGAATCACAAGCTGAAATCAAGATTTCCAGTAGAAATATCAACCTCAGATATGCAGATGACACCACTCATGGCAGAAGCCGAAGAGGAACTAAAGAGCCTCTTGATAAAGGTGAAAGAGGAGAGTGAAAGGGCTGGCTTAAAGTTCAGCCTTCAAATTACTAAGATCATGGCATCTGGACCCACCACTTTATGACATACAGAGGGAAACAATGGAATCAGTGAAAGTATTTTCTTGGGGTCCAGAATCACTGTGGATGATGACTGGAGCCATGAGACTAAAAGACACTTACTGCTGGGAGAAAAGCTCCAACAATCCTAGACAGTGTATTAAAAAGCAGAGACATTACTTTTCCAACAAAGGTCCATATAGTCAAAGACTTCGTTTGTCCGTTAGTCATGTAAAGATGTGAGAGTTGGACCATAAAGAAGGCTGGGAGCTGAAGAACTGATGCTTTTGAACTGTGGGACTCTTGAGAGTCCCTTAGACTGCAAGGAGATCAAACCAGTCCATCCTAAAGGAGATCAGTCTGAATATTCATTGGAAGGACTGATGCTGAAGCTGAAGTTTCAGTACTGTGACTACTTGATGGGAAGAGCCAATTCATGGGAAAAGACGCTGATGCTGGGACAGAGAGAAGGCAGGAGGAGAAGGAGATGGCAGAATGAGATGGTTGGACGGCATCAGTTTGAACAAGCTCTGGGAGATGGTGAAGGACAGGGAACTGCAGTCCATGGGGTCACAAAGAGTCAGACATGACTGAGAGACTGAACAGCAACAACAACCAATATTATGGAAAAGACAGAAGCAATATGGTCCGTTTAGGACTCTCCCCATGAAACGGGATGGAGGAAAGGGCTTTTCACAGACAGCAGTTTCCAGTTCAGCCAATACACAGCTGAGATCCCTGGGCTGAGGGAGAGCTGACCTGCCCCAAAGCTGCAGTGTTGACATCTCAGGGCAGGAGAGGACCAGGGTCAGATGGACAGGGTGTCAGTCAGAGATGGGGACCCACACCGGTCTTTTCTGGCTCCGGGAGAGATAACACCACTGATGGCAGCACTCACCACCCACGGAAACCCCAGTGTAAAGTCCAGACACGCGGTGACGGCCGTCATCCCCAGTCTCCATGCTCACAGCCGGGATGCAGGTGCGAGGCCACAGCCTCAGGGCCACAGGGAGACGGGGGAGCTGTGCTCTGCTCTCCAGCACTGCTGACTCAGAGGACCTCAGGCTCAGTCCAGGACACGGAGACCCTGGGCTCGGGAAAGCTGCTCTCAGTGGGGTTTTCAAGGGAACCTGCTTCCTGAAGAGGGACTTTCCGCTGACCATGCCGCCCTCACACTGCATGCCATTCACTGTGAAGGTTTACCTCCACGAACCATGCATGTCCTCTCACCACTGAGGTGGGGACTATGTTCCCTGAGCTCCCATCTCACGGCAGGGACACAGAGAGGAAGAAATAAGCACTTGGAGGAGGAGGAAGGAGTGTGTAGAGTGACCAGGGCACCTGCCCAGCATGTTGGAGCACTAGGAGCTCCTGGGCACTGTCTGTCCTCAGTCTGCAGTAGCCTTGGGGTCCTCAGTGTCCACATTCAGGGTGGGGGTCCTGAGGTTCACAAGCTCCTGCAGACACTCAGTTGTGCACAGGAAAATGTGGGACAGCCCACTGGGCAAGTCAGCCAAGCTGGGAAGAAGAGCTTCTCAGCAGAAATGACTAGTTTGTCCACAAAATTAACTGCATGGTTAGTAGTTATGGACAAACCCATCTCCAGATCAACTCTTCATTTTAAATTGTGTCAGACGAAGAAATGGTCTTGCCAGTTAAGGGAAATGATAAATCCTTTGGAGTTATGATAAAATTTAAAATGTACTGAGTTTTATTTGAATTAAATGTATTATTACATGCATTTTTGCTACAATGTTTTAATATCCCAATCATGAACACAAGCTAATTCAGAAAGGATAATACATAAGAGTCCTGACAACTATGCAGACACAGAATCTAGTTATGTATTTGACAAGAGATGAACCTACATGTAATTACACTCTTCCAAAAATCTGTGTTTGATATTTGACCACATTTTTTTCCTGACCAGCCATTCCACATCCTTTCTTTCCTCGACACAGAGGCCCTGGATAAGGGGAGGGGGATGCCAGGAGGGGTCTGAGTTCTCTGAGGGCACAGTCAGCACCCCCCTCACAGTGTGAGCCCCAGGGACAGGGCCGTCCATTCACTACCTTCTGCTTTTTATGCAGAGGCCCCTCCCACATGCAAAGATCCACTCAGTCACAGGGTGGAAACAAAGCACCAGGTCACTTAAATTCAGGCTCCTCCTCAGGCTTGAAGAGATTTCCGGGAGCGGTGACTCTCATCTGCTCGAAGATGAGCCCACTGTGGACCTTCCTCTTCCTGCTGTCAGCTCCCAGCGGTGAGTGTCTGTGGATCAGACATGGGCACGTGGGGAAGCTGCATCTGAGCCCGTGAGTCACCGTGCTTCTCTCTGTCCACAGGGGTCCTGTCCCAGGTGCAGCTGCGGGAGTCGGGACCCAGCCTGGTGAAGCCCTCACAGACCCTCTCCCTCACCTGCGCTGTCTCTGGATTCTCACTAACTGGCTACGGTATACACTGGGTCCGCCAGGCTCCAGGCAAGGCGCTGGAGTGGGTTGGTGGAATATGTAGTGGTGGAAGCACATACTATAACCCAGCCCTGAAATCCCGGCTCAGCATCACCAGAGACACCTCCAAGAGCCAAGTCTCTCTATCACTGAGCAGCGTGACACCTGAGGACACGGCCGTGTATTACTGTGGAAGAGACACAGTGAGGGGAAGTCAGAGTGAGCCCAGACAAAAACCTCCCTGCATGGGCGCCCGGACCACCAGGGGGCGCTCGGGACTGAGTAGAAAGCGGAGCCCAGGAGCAGGTGCAGAAGAGGCGTTGGTTGGTGGGGGACCTGGAGGGGATTCCCTTCAGGACCTGTTCTTTCCTCCTGCCCAGGAGCTGTACCACAGACCCTCTTATGTGTCCTGAGATTTCTTTGTTGTGGTTTATGTCACGTTCAGAAGACTGTGTGTGTATATATGCTTTAATTTTTCCTTGAAGTAAAGATAGCTTTATGCAAACACCCACACACACAAACACACAAACATAACACCCAACAGCTAAAATTTTTTCTCCTTTATTTTTCTTCTTTCTAAGGAACTCAGTAAAACACTTGACTTTCACATTAATTTCAAAACTGTTAACTATCCTGAAAGGAAACATGAGATATCTAAACATTTTTAATCTTTCTTTTGTTTTTGTACATGAAGAAGGAAGAGACTCAATGTCCTTCTTTCTGTCAAGCTTCACAGTGAGAATCTGGAGCAAGCAGTGTTAAAGGCTCTAGTGTCAGAGGTCCCCAGTGCTGCATATGCAATGGTTCTCCTTATTCACAGATTTTGTATTGCAAACTCATCTACATGCTAGCTTTTATTAGCATCAACATAAGTATGTTACCTTGTATCCTTATATAGATATTTAAAGTATGGCCAGTTCACTGAGTCACTCAACACACACACATTCCAGGAGAGATCAATCAAGTTGATACCATCTCACCTCAACGTCTCTGAAGCCCACACCCCATTCTGAGCTTCTGTCTGGATCATTCATAAGGGGAAATACAGAGGTCCTCAGGAGGATTTGTCCGTGGGGTGAGCATGGAGCCCACCACCCTCTGTGCCCACTCCCATCACAGTGGCCGTCACTGGTGCAGAGTAAGGAAGCAGGAGCTGTGCTGGGCTCAGCCCTGAGGAAGATCCACGGCCTGAGAGGACGAGGAGCTGAGCTGAGATGGGGAGGGGCAGGGGGCCGTCAGGACAGAGATTCTGGGCTCAGAAAGGGAGACCTGTCCTTGGAACTGGTTCCAAGCCATCTGGTAGACCCAGTGCTTTCCACCCCCCACCCCCCACCCCCCTTGTTTTCCAACCATGTAAATTCAGAAGGTGCCCATGGGGATCCTGGGATGATCAGGATGAGCATGACAACAGCCTCTCTGGACTCACAGGAAGAGTTCCTCAATGCAAATTCCTCTTCAAGCTCCAGGGTAAAATCCACCCCTGGGCTGTGGGAGCTCACCCCTCTCTGCTCACACAGGGCTGAGGTCTCAGGGAAGGCAGAGCTGTGGTGTAGAAGATGAGGCTGTGGGGTCTTCTCCTCTGCCTGGTGACAGCACCCCAAGGTGAGGGTCTCAGGTTCAGACATGAATTTGTGGTGATGGCTGTCACTGCATGTGCTGTTAGGGACTGATTCTCCTCGTCCCCAGGTGTCCTGTCCCAGAGCAGCTGCAGGAGTCAGGCCCAGAACTGCTGAAGCCCTCACTGATCCTCTCCCTCACCTGGTTACTCCATCACCAGTGGTTATGGTGGAAACTGGATCCACCAGGGAAAGGGCTAGAGTGGATGGGATGCATCTATTATAATGGTAACACTCACTACAGCCCTTCCATCAAGAACTGCACCTCGGGATTCTTGGGAGAGCCTGTGGTTTCCTTTTCCTGCCCAGGAGCTCCACCTGAGACCCTCTTCTGTGGCCTAATGTCTCACTGCTGTGGTTCATGTCACACTCAGAATTCCCACATATTGTGGGAATATGCATATATTTTTGCAGTTTTAATTTTTGTTGAAGTAGGATGCATTTTATACATACACATTTAATACTCAGGAATTAAGGATAATTTTTTGATACTTTTCTTCTCCTCAAAGAACTTCAGTACACCCCTGAGGTCCATCACCATTTTCCTGATGAGTCTGAATCTTGAAATTTATGAATGTTCTGAGAAGACACAGGGAATTTTTAATCGCTACATTTTTTGTTGGTTTTGTATGTGTTGAAGGAAGAGACTCACTCTCCCTCTTTCAGTGAAACTGCAAAAACAGGTAGAATTCTGCAGTGTCCAGTGTTATAGGTGTTAATCCAGAGAGCCCCAATACTGCATATACAAATATCCTCATTATTCACAGATTCTGTATTTGCAAATTCACCTAGTTTTAGCTTTTATTAGCATCATAAATCATATACCATCATTTCACAGTCATTAATGGACATTTACAATGTGGACTGTTTTAAATCATCCAACACACACATATTTCTACTTGAGGGCAGTCAAGTCCATACCCTCATGTTTCATCCAATCATGTAAATCAGTCTCCTTCATGTTCAGTTTAGAGACCTGCTTTCACATTTTAGTGCCCTTTAGTTGACAATTTCCCTCTTTAAAGTGACCCTGTGTGTAGTCCTCAAGTACAGGCTAGTGTCTATAAGCACAAATTGCTGCAAGCTAACTTTAAATAGAAAACATCTTTCTGAGAAAGTTTCATTCAGGCAAGAATTGTACTTCCGGGCATGTGAGCTTTACATTGACGTCTCAAATATAAATATTATTTTTAAAATGGGATTCAGGTCTCAATTTTTGTTATTTGAGGTGGTCTTGGAAACTTGGTTCAGTTCCAAATACAGAGGGTAAAGTGGAGATTTATGGACAACGAGGAGATAGGATGGAAAGTGACCACGAGGAAACTTCAAGTACAGGGGGACCTGGCTAGGCTGTCCCCCAAGGATTCTTGATAAATAGATGTCAGGGTGATCAGAATCACCTGGGAGAGAGCAGGTTTAATGAAATGACTCCAGTATTGAGAGTGATCAGAGGTCAAGGGTAAGAGTGCTCACTAATCTGACTTAGCAGGAGTCCTGATAAAACTAGGAAACGATGGACACAGAAACCCACAGGTCAAGACCTAGTTGAGAAACAAATTTCAGGAAGCCAGAGTAACATATGATCAAGGTGTCCTTGTCAGGGTTCTTATCTCCAATGACCTAGTTCTCTGAAAGTCAGAGCTTTGATCCAAAAGAAGATGAACTCCATCTGGTCCTTCCCCCTCCTGCGGGCATCTCTGAGCTGTGAGCCTCTCCCAGGTCTGAGGAGGGTGGAGTGATGTAGTGGCCTCTGTGAAAAGGGTGTCTCATGGTTTCTCCTTCCAGGGGTCCTGTCCCAGGTGCTGGTGCGGGAGTCAGACCAGGACTATTGGAGGCTCTCTCCTCGACTGATCTGTCTGTGGATTCTGCATCACACAGAGTGCTCACTGCTGGGACTGGATTCCTCAGTCTTAAGAGTAAGAACTGGAGTGATGGGGTGCTTTGGTCCCGGGAACATCGCAGTATAGAACGTGTCTCTCCAGAAACAACTCTCCATCTACAGAGACACGTCAGTTTAGCTCCATGAGGATCTAGGACACAATCCTGCGTTGCTGTCCCAGGAGGCACAGGGAGAAGTCAGACCCAACCCATATAACCCTGCCTTCAGGGGCTGCTCCAAGCTCAAGGGGGCCCCTGCATTCATCAGGAAACAAGAGGACACTTTTCAAGGTGGGAGAGAAAGTGTCAGGATGGGTTTTCTCTCAGAAGCTGGGGTTTCTCCACTGGAACATTCCCTCCCCTGCAAGCTCCATCCGTTGTCACCCCAGAGAGCTTTCCTGTTTCTGAACCTGGGACTTGATTTCATGGAGTCAGGCTGGTCTGTCTTTCCCCATCTGTCTTAGGACAGGCTGCACAGAAATATTTCTTCAGAGGACATATTAGGCCACTACCTTCTGTTACCTGTTGTCAACTTTTTAATTATTAATTCTTCTGCTTAATTTAAAATCTTCTTTCCACTCTCAGGTGGATTTCCAAATCCTCTCAGCCTGAAATTCTCCCCAGCTCTGTTAGATGTTGCATCTTTCATTTGAATAGTGAGTAGTATTTGAAGTTGCTAATTGATGTCATAGAGCACTGGAGTTACTTTTTCCCCCAGAGACACGTGAAAATGTCTGGACACCAGTTAGGCTGTATCATAAGTGGTGTGTTGTACGTGGCTGGTTATACATTTGGTAGACAGATAAATGATAGATGAAATAGAAATGTAGATAAAAGGAAACAATGCAAGCAATTATATCCTAACGATGTGGTAAATAACCATACAAATTGAGTCTATAAATTCAGCGAGTAGTAAAATCTCAAAAGTGCAAAGGTGATTAAGGCATGTATATGAAGATATTTGTAAAAATACAAATATTCAAATAATTGGTAAATACTTTTCTAGTCCACCCCTCAGTCACGTGGTGATTCTCTGTTTTCTCTCTGTGAAATCATCAAATACATTCCCACTTGGCTGCCATTTCCATTCCTTCCAGCTAGTGGATGAGCGACCTTTATTTTACATCATCCCAGCATTGGATTGCTTTAGTATTTTGTACTTTAGCTTCTCTAAGGGTGTGTAACAGTATCTCATCCTCCTGTGATTTCATGTTTCCTAATAAAAATCTTGTCTTCTGGGGAAGCCCTGACAGAAACTTCCCCTCACCTGTGCCGTCCCCAGTTACTCCATCCCCGGTGGATATGATTCCCCTTGGCTCTTCCAGGACCAGGGATGGGTTGCTGTGGATGGTGACATATAAGATGATGGGACCTTGCTGTGTAGGACTTCAACCAAGAGCCATGCCTCCATCTCCAGAGACACATCCAAGAACCAGTTCTCCCAGGAGCTGAGCTCTGATCATCAAGGACTCAGCTGTGTATTACTGTGCAAGAAACAAAGTGACATGAAATCAGTGTGGGCCCAGACTCACACCTCCTGAAAGGTTGTTGCTGAGCCATGGATGATGCTGGGTTCGTGGCCTCTGGAGGAAAGGAATTCGATTCAGGGCCAGTGACGAGGTTTGATTGCTCAGAGATTTTGTGTGATATAAATTTATTAAACCATAAAAGAGATGGGGACAGCTTCTGACATAGACATCAGAAGCGGGCAGAAGGAGTGCTCCCTTGCTAGTTTTTAGCAAGCTGCTAATCAGATAAAGGAAACTTCAAAACTAAGAGAGTTGCACCAGGCCGCTCACCCACAACATGTATTTTGAGATAGCATTGGCACAAGGTGAGTCATCCCTGGGCATAAAACAATTGACATGAATCTTGAAGAAAGGCAGATTTCCAAGCAAACACAGAGTTCATTAACATAGCATAAGAAAGCGATTTCCAGGAGAAAAATGCATTGGTTAGCTCAACGTTTGAGATAAAGTTAGTTCAAGTGGAATCAGATGTCACCATAACAACATAGGATTAGAAGAGAAAAGAAAAAAAAATGTCTGTCACTTGCAGTTTCTTTCCTCCTGCCCCTTGGGGACCTCTGGCCTCCCTATTGAGGCTATTAACACTCTCGTTCCCCTCTTTTCTTTTAGGAGAACTGTGTTGTCAAGGGAAAGGTGTAGCATTCTCTTTCCATGAGCTGGAAAGGGGCTTCGTCCCTAAATTGTTGAGGCAACATATTCTCCTAACCCTCATATTGAGGGTTTCTGATCCAGGGGCCCCAAGGAGTTGGAGAAAGCTGTGGCAGTCGTAGGAGTTTGAGTGACCATTTGTAACTTAAAAGCCTTCCTGCAGCTAGAAACAAATCCAGCTGCACAGTTACAGGTGCAAGGAACAAATAGCAAACACAGAACAATCAGAGTTACTACAGTTGTGATAGTTTCCCCCCATGGAGAGCTAGGTAATATTTCCCAAAGTAAGGTGACTGAGGCTTCAGGAGTATCCATAGCCTGAGTCATCTTGTACATGTGTTTATTAAAGTCAGTAGCATTATCAATAATCAAACTTAAAAGTCACATAATATCTATGGTTAAGGTACAAAGTCTAACACCAGTCCATTTTAAGATTGTTAGATGTCATTAGATTAAGAAGAAGCCATCAGAATAAAGAAGGTGGAGGACTCACAGATGGTCCAGGGGAACATTTGGTGAGGAGGGCTTGTTCACTATTGTGATTGTCTGGATAAGCAAGTATGTCATATATTCAAATTCAAGTGTCATGAAAAGGCACCCGTGTGAACCCTGATTCTCTAAACACTCTTCTGGGAAACGTTGAAAGTGAAAGTGAAGTCGCTCAGTCATGTCTGACTCTTTGCGACCCCATGGACTGTAGCCCATCAGGCTTCTCTGTTGAAGGGGATTCTCCAGGCAAGAATACTGGAGTGGGTTGCCATGCCCTCCTCCAGGGCATCTTCCCAACCCAGGGATCAAAGCAGGTCTCCCACATTTCAGGCATTAGGTATGAGCCACCAGGCAAGCCCATGAACACTGGAGCGGCTAATAGCCTGTTCCTCCGCCAGGGATGCTCTCAACCCAGGGATCAAACACTGGAGCGGCTAATAGCCTGTTCCTCCTCCAGGGATGCTCTCAACCCAGGGATCAAACACTGGAATGGCTAGCCTATTCCTCCTCCAGGGATGCTCTCAACCCAGGGATCAAACACTGGAGCGGCTAATAGCCTATTCCTCCTCCAGGGATGCTCTCAACCCAGGGATCAAACACTGGAGTGGCTAGCCTATTCCTCCTCCAGGGGTGCTCTCAACCTAGGAATCAAACACTGGAGTGACTAGCCTATTCCTCCTCCAGGGGTCCTCTCAACCCAGGGATCAAACACTGGAATGGCTAGCCTATTCCTCCTCCAGGGGTCCTCTCAACCCAGGGATCAAACACTGGAATGGCTAGCCTATTCCTTCTCCAAGGGGTCCTCTCAACCCAGGAATCAAACACTGGAGTGGCTAGCCTAGTCCTCCTCCAAGGGGTCCTCTCAACCCAGGAACTAAACACTGGAGTGGCTAGCCTATTCCTCCTCCGGGGGTCCTCTCAACCCAGGGATCAAACACTGGAGTGGCTAGCCTATTCCTTCTCCAAGGGGTCCTCTCAACCCAGAATCAAACTGGGATCTCCTGCACTGCAGGCAGATTCTTTACTAGCTGAGTTACCATCTCCTGATATCTAGAAAAGCACTGAATCTTTTCATGGTGATATCAGATCCTTGTGGCTAGCAGAACCTTTGGCTATTAATGGCATTGAACTCCTCTTCCCAAAATCTTGTATACTGACCTTCTTCCTACTGCCTCTTTGGAGTCGTCTCTCAGAGCTATCTGGGGTGCTGCCTCCCGGGCTAAAGTCCTCGTTTTGCCCCAAATAAAACAACTCACAACTCTCAAGTTGTGTATCTTTTTTAGTTGACAGTTATGGCAGCTGACAAGGGACCCAGAGTGGACTTCCTTCCTTCCCCTCGACTCCACAAGGGACCGGAGCTTTGGGTACAAGCAGCAGCCCCTTGCGGCCATCTGCCTCCTCAGGGAGTGCAGACTAATTTGGGCAAGTCTTTTCTGGTTCTCAAATCTCCCGTGTTGGTTGAGATTATGAGTTTTATTTGGCATTGGAGCAGGTTACCTGCCCCTCTCAGTAGGAAAGACTGGGGGTGGAGGGCGGGTGAAACATCTCGGGCATACCCACTCATGGTTTAGACACTGAGTGAGGCTCGGCTGAAAGATACCGAGAATTTCCCACCCAGTCAAAAGATACTGGGTGGGAGGCTCACTGAAAGATGGCAGGGGAACTACCCAACCAGCGGAAGGGCACTGGGTGTGAAGGGCTAGACTGGGAGAAAATCAAGGAATACCCGGGGCTCGACTGAAAGATGCCAAGGTTGCTCGATTGTAGGGGACTGAATGGTCTTTAAATAGTTAAGAGGCTGATTTGACACTTTTCCTCAATTTGACTGCCTTTATAGAGTCTGTCAGGTTAAAAGGACAGAGAATATATGAGAGCTCTGCTCTGAAGAAAAGGGGCAAGACACTTTCCAGCCAGTTTTCATTTTCTCAGGTGACAAAAATTTAAGGTAGTGATGGAGACCTAGTATGGGAAAGACTAGATGTCTCTTCAAGAAAATAAGAGATACCAAGAAAATATTTCATGCAAAGATGAGTTCAATAAGAGACAGAAATGGTATGGACTTAACAGAAGCAGAAGATATTAAGAGGTGGCAAGAATACACAGAAGAACTCTACAAAAAATATCTTCATGACCCAGATAATCACCATGGTGTGATCACTCACCTAGAGCCAGACATCCTGGAGTGTAAAGTCAAGTGGGCCTTAGGAAGCATCACTATGAACAAAGCTAGAGGAGGTGATGGAATTCCAGTTGAGCTATTTAAAATCCTGAATGATGATGCTGTGAAAGTGCTGCACTCAATATGCCAGCAAATTTGGAAAACTCAGCAGTGGCCACAGGACTAGAAAAGGTCAGTTTTCATTCCAATCCCAAAGAAAGGCAATGCCCAAGAATGCTTGAACTACTGCACAATTGCACTCATCTCACACACTAGTAAAGTAATGCTCAAAATTCTCCAAGCCAACTGAAGCATTCACATGATAAAATAATAGCTATATGAAAAGACAGGGCCATCCTATAATGTGTCTTCAATTCTCTTCCTAGATGAAGTGATTTCAATGTAGCTCATAAAGCAAGTGTTCCTCTTACCCAATTCAAATACTGAGTGAGCTGAAGGGAAGAGACTTCACAGGGACCCAGAAAGACCACAGGGGTGGTGATCGCACTCCATCCCCACTTACAAGGATAGGGCTAACCCACATGGAAATTCCTCCTCATGCTCCAGGGTACAATCCACCCCTGGGTTGGTGGATCCACCACTCCCACAGGGCTGAGGTATCAGGGAACACAGACCACGGTCTAAAAGAAGATGGAGGTGTGGGGACTTCTCCTCTGCCTGGTGACAGCTCACCAAGGTGAGAATCTCAGGTGCAGACATGCATCTGTGGGGATATTTGTGACTACAGGTCACTGACAGGTACTGACTCTCCGTGTCCCCAGGAGTCCTGTCCCAGGTGCACTGCAGGAGTTGGGCCCAGAACTGCTGAAGCCCTCACTGACCCTCTCCCTCACCTGTGCCATCTCTGGTTACTTCATCACCAGTGGTTATGGTGGGAACTGGATCCGCCAGGCCCCAGGAAGAGGCTAGCGTGGACAGGGTGCATATATTATAATGGTGACACTCACTACAGCCCCTCCATCAAGAATCACACCTCCATCTGCAGGGACACATCCAAGAACCAGTTCTCCCTGCAGCTGAGCCCTGTGACCACTGAGGACATGGCCGTGTGTCACTCTGCAAGAGACACAGTGAGGGGAAGTCAGTGTGAGCCCAAGTCACCCTCCGGGGGCCTCCATGACCACGAGCGGGTGCTGGGGACACACAATGGTGTTGTGCAGGTGCAGGTGCAGATGGTGATTGACAGCTGGTCTGCTGTCAGGACCTGGGGCTTCCTCTCCTTGTAGCAGTTTTCCTGGGGACACGTCTCTGCGTTCATGACTCTGTAGGTGCCTACTCAGCCTCTGAGGCAGAATGGTGTGTTGGGAGAGGAGACCACATCCTCACTGCACGAAAGGCACAGTCTCTTAGGGTTGCTTCCTCTTGTCACTTATGTCCGTTCTCTGGCCATTTGGTGTAAGCTGGCTGAGTCCACAGGAGAGGCTCTGCGTGACTCAGCAGTGCGGCTCAGCACAGCAGGGCCAGGGAAAGAGCTAGCCAGCAGTCAGCAGTGTAGGTGCATGCTGGGCTCAGACAACAGAGGTGTGTAAACCCAGAGCCAGGAAGAATCCCCCCTTGGTGGTGCAAACTGAACTGACACTTCACTCACAGCATCAGCCATAGTTCTCTCCATGGAGACGCAGCGGGACCTCCACGCCAGCCTGAGATAGAAGTTGAGTCTGCTGACACCATGCAGAGATGCAGGAAGATGAAAAGTTTGTGTCATCTGTGTTCCTGCATCTATGTCTGTGATGTCATCAAACTCACTTTCTATATCAACCTGGGGTGTGGGGTCCCACTGAATTTCCATGGAGAAAGCTACGCATAGTGCTATTAGTGAGCTGTCAGCTCTTTGAGCATGAACATGGGGCATTCTTCCCTTCACTAACTGATAAGCTCTAGTAGGTGCAGTAGATTCTGTCATTTGGGTGGTCAGATAGAGGACACATACTAAAGGAAAGTTTTTGCTAGTAAAAACAGTTCCTTCTTGATATCTTCAGCTTTATTAAGGTATGACCCACCAGAAGTTTATACAAGGAAAAACTCTCTCAACGAGAGAGTACAATATAGCTAAGGAATATACAGAATATTCCCTGATGAATAATGAAGCCATTATGTGCACCCTCTTGGTGTTCAGCCATGTCTCCTGACTGTCTCATTTAAGAAACGCTACCTTTTAGTTCATGGAACTTAGTGATTTTAAATCACTTTTGTCCTAATGCCTGCAGACAAGTCACTTCATTCATACCTGACTCTACCACCCAGTGGGCTCTAGCCTGTTAGGCTCCTCTGTCCGTGAAATTGTCCAGGCAAGAACGCTGGAGTGTTTTCCATGCCTTCCTGC